TTTTTTTTTTTTGTGCTGGGAAGTTAGTGACTATTTGGCTGTCAATTTATGAAGCAGAAGTGCTTTGAGCTTGAATCCATCTATAATAACCAGGTTAAAAGAATCAAAATATTTAGTTTAAAAGATCTGCAGTGAAGCTTTGTTGCTTAGGAATTTGTATGTTAGCATCATCCTGTCGGTCTTCTTTGTTTCTTTGAAGATATTATTATTAAGAAAATTTCGAAGCTTTTTTTACTTTTATTCAGTTCTCACACTAATGAATGAATCAGTTATAATAATTTTTGTGTTGTCGAGGAGACTTATTTTTGCAGAAGGAAGTAGTGCAAAAATGTCACTTTGTGTCTTTGCAGGAAAAGGAAATCTGTATTAGAAAATTTTTTCCATCTAATGTCAGGCAGTTCTCTTGAAGTTTGCAGGAGCTGTCTACTTCTCCTTAAATCATTTTATTATGAGCCTTTTGTCGTCATTTACAGACCAGATTTAATTGACTACGAGAGTCTTTCTGCTCAAGATCCTGTGCGTAATTTGAACAACGCTTTTGATGTTGCTGAAAGGGAGTTTGAAATCGCTCGTTTACTTGATGCTGAGGACGTAAATGTTGTTCATCCTGATGAGAAGTCTATTATAACATACGTTTCGCTATATTATCATTACTTTGCGAAACAAAAGAGTGAAATGACAGGGGCTAGACGTGTTGCTAAGGTATAAATTAATGTCCAACTTTTTTTTTTTCAAATTTCTGAATGAACCATAAGGTATTAGGATTGAAAGTCTTTTGGCTGTTAGATTGTGAGAGATTGCGATTTCTACCCTTTTCGCCCCAGGTAGTAAAAAAGAAGGTTGGCAGCGACTTTATTGAAAAATTGCTTAATTTGCAGATTGTTTGCGGATTAATGGCAGTCGATCGACTGCAAGAAGAGTTTGAGTCGCTTTGTTCAGATCTTCTTCAGTGGGTCCATAAGACCATAACGAATTTAAGCGATCGACATTTTCCTAATTCTCAAAAAGGAGTTCAGGACTTATTCATTCAGTTTAAAAACTATCGGACTATTGAGAAGCCGCCAAAGTAAGAGTTTTGGGATGCTGTTGGAGGCATTATATTGTTGTTGAGAAAAAAATTTTTTTTAAATATTTCTTTATTCTAACACCTGAATAGGTTTGGGCACTATTTTCATATTTTAGACAAGTTTGTTTCTTTAATCAGCTCCTTGTTCAGCTTAAGTATTATAGTGAGTTCTAAAGTTATAGAAAATTTCGCGATTCATTTAGATACAAAGAAAAGGGTGACTTAGAGGCTCTTTTCTTTACCATACAAACGAAACGTAAAGCTATGCGTCGTAAACCGTATTGCCCACCACAAGGTTGCTTCTCACAATTCAGTTTTGTATTTTTTCTTGAACTTTTAAAACTATGATGGTCAAGATGATTACATGTGAGTAGTTTATATAATGCTGTTCTCATTTCCTAGGTTTATTACTGCACGATGTTGAAACGGCTTGGGCACTGCTTGACCATTCCGAAAGTGATCGGCAGCTGGCACTTACTGCAGAATTACAGAGGTGAGGGTTTTATGTTTTTTACTGTAAGTGTAAGAGTGGTATCATTTCTCTATTCTATAAAAAAAGCTTCGACAGATAAAGGATTCGCTTTTTTGGGTTGAAACATTATTTGTTTTACAATGGTTTGGTCCTGCAACAGTTATTCTTAATAACCTCTTTTATAATTTTTCTCTAATTTTTTACGTTTTTGGTATTTCTTATGGTTAACTTTTTTGAACGTCATGCTGTTATCTGTATGGCTAACTCAGTAAATGCGAGAGCAAATTTTTGAAGTGAGTAATGGAATGTAGTAACCCACCAAAAAGAATCGATTGGGTGTAATACTTGCAGGGTTAAAAAATTCCTCACAGTAAAGCTTTTCAGGCAGGAACGTTTAGAATTAAAAGCAAAAAAATTTGACGGTAAGGCAAAATTACGCGAGTCTTGGTTACGAGAAATGAACGGTATTATACAAGATTTTGAATTTGGAAAGACTGCTGCACAGGTAGAAGCGGCTTTGAAGAAACAGCAAGCGATTGCAGCCGACATCCTGCCTAGGGTATAGTGAAGTGTTCATTTGGTTGGGTTATATGTCTTTTTTTGGCTGTAATTGGTGAATATTGAAAATTTTGTTCTGAGGAGTTTAGTATTTTTTTTAAATGTAGATTATAATTCTTGATTTGGTAAAATCTTGCTGAAGGTTACAAATTTGATCACGTTAATTTTGATTTTTCGAATTCTTTTTATAGGAAGTTCGGTTCAAATCCCTGACTGCTATGGCAAACGAACTGAGTAAGGAAAATTATCATGATGCCGACCGCATAAAGGTTCGAGAGCGCGAGATTTTGGAGAAGTGGAGTCAGTTGCTAAGTGCTTTGGAAGCTCGTCGTGTCGCAATTGTATCTTTAAATGATCTCATGGAATTACTCCGGGACATTGATGCTTTAACTTCTGAAATGAGGCTTCTTGAGGTTTGTCACTTAGTTTTCAGTTTTTTTGTAAACTATGTTTTTTTTTACACTTATTGACAGCGAGTACTTGGGACAGCTATCGCTAACTACCAGATAATCACTGATTTAATTTTTTTTAGCCTCAGTTTTTGAATCGTGATGCAGGGAAGCACTTGCTGGGAGTCGAAGACCTCTTGCAAAAACAAGAAATTTTAGAAGCTCAATTAAATTCTCAAGGTGAATTGTTGAAGAACATAGGTATTCGTGCACGGTCGTACATAAGGCAAGAAGGTGAACAGTATGATGTTCTGCAACGAAAGCTTGACGATGCGAAAGCGCTTCACGAAAAGTTGGTTTCTTCTATAATTAGTAAATTATGTAACATTTTATACTGTAAACTGGCCTAATTTTTCAGGCTTATTGAGTTATGTAGACAGCGGAGGATGGACCTTCACCGTGCAAGAAACCTCTATCGGTTTATTCAGGACCATGAAGAGGAAATGAGCTGGCTTAAGGAGAAGGAAGAGCTTTGCATTGCGGTCTTGAGTAGCCGGGATTTATCATCGACACCTCAACTCAGCCGGATTTTCAAAGTATAATAGTGATATTGATTTTCAAAATCCTCTCTGCTTATCGGTGGAAGCGAAAAAGTTTTTAGTAAATATCATTTTGATAAATATTTGCACAGGCAGAAGTCTTTGAATTAGTTCGAAACTAGTTATAGTTTTTACGTCATATTTAGCATAAGACTTGCTGTATTATATGAGAAGCCTTGCGTATGCATAAATGCATTCGTTCTTTTAGTTTTACATATGACTTTTGAGCGATTACATTTAGTCTTGATTTCATCAGAAATGCGTGATTTGGTTTTCTTTTAACGTTTCTTCAGTGTCTCTTTTTTAAGAATCTTGAAACCGAAATGCACTCTCATTGGCAACAGACGAAAGCTGTAATTGCAGCAGGGGAGAGTTTGATGGCAAGCGGTTTTAATAAGGACGATATCCAGTCGAGAATTAATAAGCTTTACAATAAGTGGGAGAAACTGAGAAAGGTTTGCAAATGGTTTTGATTACAGTGACAGATCAATACCGTATAACTGCCGCTAGCATATCTGATTCTCTTTAGAACGCAGAGGCTGTGGGGAAGTGGTTGAGGGAGGCAGAGCAAGCGCATCAGTATTTCCAAGATGCAAATGAAGCGGAAAGCTGGATTCGTGAGAAAATGCCGTTGGTGAAGAGTGATGATTACGGGAGGGATGAGCAAGCTTCGGAAAATTTACTTTCCAGGTTTTCTTGTTACAATATTTGGTTCATTTA